ATACAAAATCTAAAGAATCATAATTGTGGCCTAATAGTTCTATTGTGAGGGAATGATTGGATTCACAATGCCTAAGAAGTTATTTTAGTACAAATAAAATGGTTTTGGAAACCTACAGTAACAAGGCATCTGAAAAGTGCTGTAAGAGGTATATCATGTGGTTATTACCTTTTGAAGAATTAGAAGTTTTGTACAATTAAAATCTGATTATGTTATTTTCCCCCTTCCTTTTCCTCCTTCCATACCCTTCCATATACCATCCCTTGTTCCCTTTCAAATTTATGGCCTCATTTTCCTTAATTATTATCATATATACGCAATATATGTATATATACAATATTTATATACATATATACATACATAAGAATGAAAATGCAACCTGCTCAGCCTATTGAATGTTAAATGTTACTTGTGTTTCCCTGTCATTTCTAGGAGACACTATCTTCTAACAGGTTTTTCTGGTCCTCTGGTCCTTACAATCTTTCTATTACTTCTGTACTTTTAAAGAAAAGTTTAGCTAATGAGAATAAAACTAAATTTCCCACTTTCAGTATAATAAAATAATTATGAAAGAGAAACAGGTTTTTATTGAATCAGGAGAGTTTCCTAAAGTCAGTGCTTTGGAATAATAAAAAAGAAATCAAGTAAAAAATAAATAGTATTTTAATGGCCACAAAAGGACCCCATATTGGACGAAACAAAAGACTGTTAAGTTTTTGAAGGTTGCCGTCTTAATAGCAAAAGTCAAATAATGAGTAGTTTTAGTTGGAGTTTTACGATTTTAGAATTCTAATCTGATACTATTGGTGGATTATTCTAAAATGAAAATAGCTAGGTAAAGGGTAAGGATTTGGGATAACTTACCTATTCATACTAAACCTCATGGGAAAACAGTCATTTCAATCACCTTATTCCTGTGTTATTCAGGATAATTTAAATTTACCCTACCCAGATCCTCTGGAACACTCATTAAATGGGAGCTCTAAACCAAACAAGAGTGACTGAGTTTGTCTTCCTGGGCCTCACTGACAGCTGGGTGTTGGAGATTCTGTTTTTCATACCGTTTACAGTCACTTACATACTAACTCTTCTGGGGAACATTGCCATTGTTGTTACCATAGTCTTCAGTCCACGCCTGCACACTCCCATGTACTTCTTTCTGAGCAATCTCTCCTTCATTGACATCTGCCACTCGTCTGTCACGGTGCCCAAGATGCTGGAGGGGTTGCTTTTGGAGAGGAAGAGCATCTCCTTCGACAGCTGCATCGCGCAGCTCTTCTTCCTACATCTGTTCGCTTGTGCTGAGATCTTTCTGCTGACAATCATGGCATATGACCGCTACGTGGCTATCTGCATTCCTTTGCGCTACCCCACTGTGATGAACATGAAAGTCTGTGTACAGCTTGTCTTTGCCCTGTGGGCGGGGGGCACAGTTCATTCACTTGTGCAGACCGTCTTGACTATTCGTCTCCCCTACTGTGGCCCGAACGTTATCGACAGCTACTTCTGTGATGTGCCTCCTGTCATCAAGCTGGCCTGCACAGACACGTACCTCACAGGGATTCTGATCGTGTCCAATAGCGGAACCATCTCCCTCACCTGCTTCCTAGCCTTAGTCACTTCCTACACTGTAATCCTGTTTTCTCTTCGAAAACAGTCAGCTGAAGGTCGTCGGAAAGCCCTGTCCACCTGTTCCTCCCACTTCATGGTGGTTGCCCTGTTCTTTGGGCCATGTATTTTCCTCTACACTCGGCCAGACTCCAGCTTTTCCATTGATAAGGTGGTCTCTGTCTTCTACACAGTGGTCACCCCTTTGTTGAATCCTCTCATTTACACCTTGAGGAATGAGGAGGTGAAAAACGCCATGAAACAACTCAGGCAGAGACGAATTTGCTCATGAAATCATGTGCAGGGAGCACTGTGATGACAGCAACAGATGTGGCTGCATCCTTATTATTTATTTATTTATTTTTTGTTTTTTGAAACTATGTTTCTCTGTCTGAGTTGGCCTCGAACACACAGAGCTCCACCTGCCTCTGCCTCCTTAGCGCTGAACCCTTAATGTGGAAGTAGCAAGTAGTTCTTAAACACCGAGACATCTCTACAGTCCTGAAAATTTATTTTCCTAATAAAATACCCAGATTAAGAGTTAAACATTTTGATAAAATTTATTCTATTTTTTTTTTGTGGTTGATCCTGTCACACTGGACTCTGTCTACTTCAAAGTTGCAAAGATTTTTAGTTGCTTTACCTTACAAATTGTATAGTTTTATCTTTACATTCTAGGTATATGATCTCTTTGGGGTTTTGCTTTTGTAGGAAATAAGTTTTAAGATTAATTTTATTCATCCACTGACTTGATTTGGCACAATTTGAGATGACTATTTTATTATTAAATCACTTATGCTGAAAATGACTTTCAAGTGTGGATTTGTAGTTCTTTATTTTGCTATATTGACTTACAAGTCTATACTTATATATGAGCACACTGTTTCGGCTATTTTAGTTTTATAGTGGGCTTAAAGAGATGATATGTGAGTCTTCCCTCATTGTTATTTCTCAAAATTGTTATGTATTTTCATGGGCATATTGGGAAAAGTCTGTCTACAGAGGGGAATGCTGGAATTTAGACTGGGGTCATATCACATCCATATGCAACATGGGAGAGAGCTAAACTGACCAATGTTCAATCTCAATCTATTAACATGAATGAGCCTATTACTTACTTTTATTTTATATTTATTACTTTTGTTCATCCTTTGTGTCTTTCATATCATACATCTCTACCCCGTTTATTTTCTGTACCTTTACATACACCCTTGAAACATCCCCTCAGATAAAATAAAATTTAACAGAAGAATATAATATCCTTTATTTTTCTTATCAATCCAGTTGTTCACGAACATCTGTTTTGATTCCCTTTTCTAGGTATTGTGAGTTGAGCCTTGATGAACATGGATGTGCTAGAGTCTTTTCAGTACAATATAAAGTCTTTTGAGTATACACCTAAGAGTTGTACAGAAGTCATTTGTAAATCCCATTTCTAGTTATTTTAGAAAGATTTATTTATTTTTACATAAGTATGTCATTGCCTACAAGGATGTATATCTACCACAAGTTCTGGGAGCTAGTGGAGGCCAGAAGAGATTGTTGGATCCTTTTGAGCTGGAATTACAGGTAGTTCTGAGCCACCATGTACTTGCTGCTAACTGAATCTGGTCTCCCACAAGAGTAATAAATGTTCTTGAATAGGAGAATAAAGAAGATCTCAGAGGGAAATGCAGCCAAAAAAGATACCAGGAGGATCAACCCGGTCTGTTTTGAAGATCTGAATGCAAATGGCCTCCAGAAATTGGGAAAGGAACCTGAGCTTTCAGAAAACATGACATCCTGCTGACATGGGCTGCTAGGCCAGGGTGTTGAATGTCTGAACCATAGAACAGCAACAATGTTTAAGGTGTAGAGAGTACTAGGTTGTAGCAGTTGGTTATAGCACCAGTACAAACATTAGTGCCAGCACTTACCATAGGAACACAAACAGTATTCTGGGCAACATTTCCAGTAATGTTTTAGAGTTTGTTTGGGAAAAGTCAACCAATAAAAACAGTTAAGAGGGGGAGCTCAAATTTGCACAATTTCAGAGTCTGATTCCTTGAACTTGTTGATCTGTTATAGAATAGACTCAATGATGCATTTGAGATACAACACTAAAAGTTTGAGGTGCCTGTGGAGGGTTTTGCTTATTTTGAAAGGAATTTAGAATCCAGTGCTATTAACTGACATTCTGTTAGCTTGTAGAAATGATGCCCAAGTGTTTTCTAGAGAATTAGAAAACAGACAGTGTGGTGCATCAGGTATGTGAAGCATAGGTTCATCACAGATGTACATGACGCAGAATGAAGGGCTGGTCAAATGCAACAAAAAAAGCAAACAAAAAAATGATTGAAATGATAAGGCAAAGATGAAGTCTGTATAAGTCAACCAGAAGCTTTCCAAAAAAGTATTAAAGAATGAAAATCTTTACTCTCTAGTGAATGAAAATGTACAAAATATTGTCGATCTGTTAATCCTCTTATAAAACTCAAGTCAAAAGTTTTATGTGAAATGCAGTGATGAAAAAAGTCTAGATATCATTTCTAAACTCATGTTTAAGTGTTTTGAAAATAATAATTCAAATTATACCTTACATTGTATACATTTATATGCACTGATATTCAGAGGCATTGGTATCTATTATGTAGAAAGAAGTCTCTAATTTGTATCCATGGCGGTTATAACTTCTTGGAACAAGCTGTCTCTCCCCTCAGAGATCTTTGTGCCTGCCATTCCACTGCCTGGAAGTGTTTGCTGTTTCTCTTTTTCATGGTTGTTTCCTTTTCATGTTTCACACCTCAACTAAAATGTGACTTCCTCAAAGAGGTTTCTCTGGACTGCAAAGTTTAGGGTCCACCTCCCCTGCATGGTCATGGTGCTCTAAACTTTGACAGCATTTGTTGTGCCTATAACTACATTTAGTTGCTCAGAATTTGCTTTTTCTTTGTACCAGACTGTATACTCCATGTAGGAGCATCTATATATTAGTTCTACTTGTAACTATAAATCCAGCACAAATTTGGAGCTCAGAAAGTATTTGTAAAATATGAAACAATAAAATATTTCCACTTCATTACATGGATGGCAGATTTGGGTGAACTCTCAAGAGGATTAGTAACCTCGATGGTTCACAGTCTTTCTCTTTGTCACTGGTCATACTCAAATATCCTTTGTTTCATTTACCTGAATTTGAAAAGTCATTTAGGAAAACACCAGAATGAATATGTAGGTGAGGGCAGTTCAGAAACCTGAACTGTTGTTTAGATTGCTGGTTAACTGAAAAGGAGGAGAAGCAAAACGAGATAATGAATTCAAGTTGGTATTTTCTCCCAGTTCTTGGAGCCATAGTGGGTTGATGGATTTGATTTGAAATCAGTCTTGTGACCTTTTTTTGTGAAGTAGAGAATTGAACCCAGGGCCTGCTATGTGCCGAGTACACATTCTGTCCTAAGCTACATTTGGGCCTTCTGAGTCCTGTCTGTGATTTTGTAGCAGGGTGGCTTTCAGCATGCTATTTGCTCAGTGTGAGCTTTTGTTCCCTTGTAGTTAGATTAGCATGTAGTCTACTCTGTTGAGGGAGTTAAGTAAGTTCCCAGTGCCTATGACAATTTCTAGAAAGTGAAAGATGTTACCAATCTCAGCTGTTACTGTGATTGTCAGATATAGGGCCAGAAGACAATATTGCAGGTCATCATCTGGTAAATACAATATATAGCTGTTTCTTTGATTTGGATCACCAAGAATCCCAAGGGCTTAGTATTTTCACTTTTCTTTTATTTCTTTCTTCCTGATTAACTTGTTCAAGGCATTTTTCATGTCCTCATTTCTAAGGGTGTAGATTATAGGGTTCAGCAGAGGAGTCACAGCTGTGAAAAACACAGACACAACCTTGTCTTCTGGAAGGCTGGTTGATGGTCGTGAGTAGATGAAGATACAGTGTCCCAGGAACAGTGTGACCACGGTGAGGTGGGCTGCACAGGTAGACAGTGCTCTCCTCTTGCCCTCAGAGATCTGTTGTCTTAGACTCACTAGGATGACTGCGTAGGACACTACAAGAACCACAAAACATACCACAGAGATCAGCCCACTGTTGGAGACAATGAGAATCTCAATGATGTGGGTATCAGTGCAAGCCAGTTTGATCACCTGAGGTACATCACAGAAGAAGTTGTCAATCTCATCAGGACCACAGTAGGGCAGATTGATGGTGAGGGAGGTGAGAGAGATGGAGTGGATGGTCCCCCCTGCCCACAGGGCCCCTGCTAGTAGCATACACACCTTCCAGTTCATTATGGTCATATACTGCAAGGGTTTACAAATGGCCACATACCGATCATAGGCCATGACAGTAAGCAGGAAGATCTCTGTGCAGGCAAAGAGGTGGAGGAAGAACATCTGGACCACACAGGCATCAAAAGGGATGAACTTTTCTTCTGAGAAGGTGTCTCTCAGCATCTTTGGTACAGTGACAGTGGAATGGCAGACATCAATGAAAGACAGATTGCTGAGGAAGAAATACATGGGTGTATGGAGCCGGCGGTCGTATATGATGGTTATGACAATGAGGATGTTACCAACCAGTGTCAGGACATAGAACGTGAGGAACATGAAAAACACAACCATCTGTACCTTTGGATTTACAGATAAGCCTCTAAGCCGAAAAGACATCACTGAAGTTTGGTTGATGGTCTTTTCCATTCTTTTAACTCTCTGAAAATTTAAAGAAAAACATGTGAAACAAGTGTAACACTTAACATTTGCATCAACATTTGGTCACTTAATTTCTTGGTCATTTGTGACTTTATCTAGAATTTGTGGGTCAAATATCTTGTGTTTATTTCTGTTTCCTCCCTCCTCCCTTCCTTCACAGTGCTGAGGATTTGAATGCAGCTCACATACATTATGTGTTTGCTTTAACTCTGAGCTATACACCCTGCCTGTTTCCTAAAAATAAACTGTCTTTCAGCTTCTTCACTAGATGCTAAACCCATGTTAAACCCACATTATGCAATCGTCAACCTCTATTAACTAGGAAATTAAAAACCACCCTGAAGAAGAGGTGAAGAGCTCAAACAAGGTGTTTATTATTGTAGCAATGTATCAGTGTTTAGATTTCCAGTGTTGGAGACAGAGTCTCAAATAGCCCAAGTTTGCTATGCGGTTGAGGATGTCCTTGACCTCCTGGTCCTTCTGCCTCCAGTTCCCTAGTGCTAACTTTGCTGGTCTGAGCCACCACACCAGCTCAGATTACAGGTTGAGGTTCTCCATACTCTACATAGGTGCCTAGTGTGAGGCCCATAACTTGATCTTTGAATATGGTTTCCATTGTTGTTCTACTGATTGTACTTTTCACTAGCCCAGATCACTTCTCTCCTGGTGGCTTTTCCTGGCTGAGGAGAGCTTAATTTCCATGATGTCAGTTTCAGAAGGCTGCAGCAGTTCACCATGCCGCTGGACAATTGTTAACGGGGATGTGATGGTTGTTGACCATTTCTTTAGAGAAGGGTGCACAAAACCCTAGAACCTGCCCTTAACCTGGAGGTCCAGGCTTAGCAACATCTCCAGCTCCTCAGATTCTCATTTTGCTGCTTGATTTACTGTTCTACAAGTAAATTCCAAGAAGCTGTTTTATTTATAGTTTATATTAGCTTTCCTCTGATCCATGTATCACAGCAATTTTAAAAGGTTTTATGTGTGTATGTATGTATCTATCTTTTATATCTTTCTATTTATACCTTTATATCTATTTCATCTATTTATCTAGTTTCTTTATCTATAATATCATGTCTATCTATCTATCATCTCTCTATGTTCTCTCTATCTAATCTCTGTCTGTCTGTCTGTCTGTCTGTCTATCTATCTATCATCTCTCTCTCTCTCTCTCTACCCTCTATCTATCTATTATAAGTGCATGGTGTTTTGCCAGCACATATCTATGTGTATCCCGTTGCAAGCCTGGTACCCATGGAAGACACAGTGGGCTTCGGATTCTTATGCTACTGGAGTTACCGGTGGTTTTGAGCTTCCATGTGGGTACTAGCAAGAGAACTTGGGTTTTGTGTAAGAGCAGCCAGTGCTCTTAGTTGCTGAAATCACCCCACTACTATTTTTATAACAATTGTATGTTCCATATTAGAGTCACAGGATTTTAGTTCTTGAAGGTAGCTGAGAGTCTGTATTTTTTTTAAAATGTTGCAAATGTCAAAAATGAGGCCCAGAGAGGTAAAGAACTAGGCTCAGGATTACACAGAATTGGAGCCACAGCGAGGTCTAGGGTTCAGGTCTCCTCCCCAGGCTCCGTCCACTTTTCTATCACTCTGAATTTCTGTGGTGGAGAAGTTTAGCAGAGGTGTCTTTATACCTCTTTCTTCTCTTAGGTGTCCTGAGTAAGCTTGGGGTGTGATCTTCAGAGTCCTGTTTCTCAGGCTTGCCCCCTCATGCCCTCTTTGCACCCAGCTTTCCAGAGGTGGGTCACCCTGGGAGCCTGTCTCTCTTTGTCTCCCAGGTCCCCCCATCCTGTGCTGTCTGCCTGTAACTTTCCTCAGGATCAGACTCTGCTGGACACACGAGTCTCCCCCATACTGCTTACGGGAAACTTCCCCTCTGCTCTCAGCAATTTCAATTATTCCCTGTCACTCATCAGCCAGCCTTATGCAAACAATGGCCACTTCTTCTGTCCATGTGAAAATAAAATTAGTAATACTGCCAAACTGAGGCACTGACAAAACAGAGCTGTGGCAAGGAAGATACTTTTTGGACAGAATTCTTTCTATTAATACTCAGGAAAACTCAGGCAGACCAGTGTTTTGTTAGTATTTACAGGATCATCTTTACATAAATATGGATCAAATTTACAGTTTGTTATTTTTTCTTAGATCATGTATTTCACAGTTTTTATTACAGAACACTATTTCAGTTATTTTGTTAACCACTTACAGCTATTTTCCTTGTTTTAGAATTGAAACGTGAAGGGCCAGGGTTGATTTTAAATTAATCATGTGAAACGTGTTCTGAAGCAGAGTTCTGCTTCCTCCTCCTAAGATGGGACACACACTTTAACTAACCCTTTCCCCCGTCAGCATCTTCCTTCTGTCTCTGTGAACTCACAGGGGAAACTGCATAGTGTCCAATGACACCAAACAACTGGTGTCAAAGTATGGGCTGCAGAGATGGATCAGCAGTTAAGAGCGCTTGTCATTCTTGTGAGCGGAACTGGGAGCCGAGCCCAGTGCCTCTAACTCCAGTTCCAGGAAATGTGATACCTCCTCTGATCTCCAAGTTCACCAGAGGTACTCACATGCTAATATAAAAATATATATATATATATATATATATACATCCATCCATATATATATATGAATACACACGCACACAAAACACACAAAGACAAACTAATAAATATAAAAATATATACACAAAAATATACATTTCAGGAAAGCATAGGAGATTATGAGTAAGGGAAAAATATAATTAAAATAAAAATTAAAATATCTGTAAAACTCACCTGAGTGCTTTCTGATGCTCTCAGTCCCTTCTTCTGTCCTGTAGTTTGAGTACAATGTCCTTCCAGAAGAAGGAAGAACTTATTTGAAGTTGGATAGTCAGAAATCCTTGAATCTTCTAAGTTCCTTGGAGACTCTGCTGGTCATAAGTCATGGCAGAAAGGTACTATTTCTGCCAAAACCATACTTTTGTATCTATCTATTGTCCTTTTTCTGCTATGCAAATAATTCTGCAGTAAGAGTTCCTAGGACGGTGTCCAGGTGATGGACGATGTCGTGTAAGAGCCCTATGTCCTGTGGTTTTTCAGAACTAATGACGAGTAGGAATTGAGCTATGAGCATTCAGCTTCACAGTTGTAGCACCTTATCAGGACAATTTAAAAACCACATGTCACCAGTTCAGTCAGAACACAGTGTGGGCCAATCACCTTGTCTGCTTTATTGCACACTTTAGGTATAAGTTTTATCATTAGTTCCAGATGGAATCTTCAACTCTTAGGTCCTGAAGGAGAATCATAAAGGAAGCAAACAGCTGTGGTTGGCAGCTGCTGCATTGCTGTTGTGCTACCTGAATACCCAGGCTTTATTGCCAAGGAAACATCCTAACAATGACATCAGCTTGCCAAGTTACTAGCTTGGAAAAGTTAATTCTGTGACTGCTGATGTAATAGCCTTGGCATCTATGGGTCAGAAAGTTTAATGAAAAATAGAACTTGAACACCTAACTTTTTGGAAGCATATTGTATATAATTAAATGAACTGGTAGTATTTAGTGATTCCACGTGAAGTGCTAATTAGTAGGAGATGGCGCTGCATCTTCTTATTTAGTTCATATAAGAACACAGATATGAGAAGGGTAGTGGATATGAAGTTTGCTCAGCCCTCTGAGATTGTAAGTGCCTTGTCTGAGAACTAGACTGTCTGGGTGAAGTTTTAAAAGTCTTAGATTTATGAATTTTGAGAAGTATGTCACAACTTTGATTCATTGTTTTCTTTTTCCATAAAACATTAATAGGGCCAGAAAGCTGTTCACAGTGGTAGAGGCTTTCCATGTAACCTTGACAATGTGAATTTTGTTCATGGAACTCACCCAAAGGTGGAAGGAGAGAACCAACTCCAGAAAATTGGTGCACTCTGACCTCTACATGTGTGCATGGACATACACCCATACACCATATATATGCAGAACAATGAAACAAAATTATAAAAGTATAAAATGCAATATTTTAGAACTTTTGAGATATTTGCCAATCATGTTGCATTTACTGTTACATGTAAAATATATTTTTCAGGGAAAAAGTGAATCAAAACAAAATCTACAGTCCATAGTTTTGGCCTCAACTATTTGTTATTTTAGATAATAGCAAATCTCTTGAATAAATTAGAGTCTCTTGTCCTGGTTCTTCTTTTGTTTTCTGTTTGATTCAGCTATATATTGAGTTTGGTGTTTAAATTGATGAAGAAGAATAAAAGTGGAGAAATGAAAATTGCATTGATTTTTTAAAAAAATTAAAATGTGTTTCTCAAAGACATGACCTTCATTAGTATCTTAGTTAGGATTTCTTTTTTTTCCTGCTTCTGCATTATTTTTTCATTTTTTATTTTATTACTTAAAAATACCAATCCAAATTCCCACTTACTCCCCTCCTCCCAGTCCCCTTCCACTCCCTCCACACACCCTCCCACCCCACCCCCTCCAATCCTAAGAGAGGGCAATGCACCTCGCACTGTGGAAAGTACAAAGCCCATCTAGGTTGGGCAAAGTATACATCCAAAGAGAATAGGATCCCAAGAAGCCAGTACATGCAATAGAGAAAAATCCCAGTGTTCACTATCATTGGCCCCTTAGTATGCCCCAACTTTCAACCACATTCAGAGGGACTAGTTTGTTCCCATGCTCATTCACTTCCAGTTCTGTTGGAGTTGGTGAGCTATGATTAGCTCAGGCAAACTGTCTCAGTGGGTGAACCCCTCATGGTCTTGACTTCCTTGCTCATACTCTCACTCCTTCCACTCTTCAACTCGATCTTGGGAGCTCAGTCCAGTGCTTAGATGTGAGTCTTTACTTCTGTTTCCATCTGTGGTTGGACGAAAGTTCTATGGTGATACTTAAGATAATCATTTGTCTGACTACAGGGCAAGGCCAGTTCTGGTACCATGTCCTCTATTGCTTAGATCTTAGCTGGGGTCATCCTTGTGGATTCCTGGGAGTTTTTCTAGAGCCAGGTTTCTTGCTAACCCCATAATGGCTTCCTCAATCAGGATATCTCTTTCCTT